AGGAAAGTTGATAAAATAAATTAAAAATGTTGTATTGTTCGATACATATGCGTACCGAACCGAAAGCACTGTATCGAACGGTTCAATATCGATACAAGTATCGTTGCACCCCTAATAATGTACCGTCTCCTCTGCTAGGCACAAGGCAGGTGGCTCTAATGCAGAAAGCATCCTGGTGTCACAGCTGCAGCACGGCCTAACTCTGGAGTTTGAACACAGTGATCCCCTCAGGAGGCTCCGTCTGACCCTCAGTGAGCTCCTAGCTATCATGAACAAGGTACAGTCAAAGCTCCCATTATAATCTCTGGACACTGATGATGATGATGATAACTGAGCATCCGCGTTGTAGAAATGTGGAACAAACATGTCACGTATACCTGGGACAGCTGTGTATATGTAAAGAAATGGAAGTATGAATCATATTGTGTCACCTGTGGACTACAGAAACAAGATGGTGCTGCTTTCTTTAACTTTTCATTAACTTTGAAGTTTTTATCGGAATTACGACTAAATCTCTGCCAGCTGCTCTCGCTTGGAATGAAATTAACTGCATCTCAGTGCTGCTGTTGTCCTTTAGTAGATCCATCTTCATCTAATAGGGGGAGTTGGGTGATGCGTCCCTGTGGCCTGTTTCACATTCCCGTGTTGTTTCTCAGGTGGCAGACTCCAATGGAGAGTTTTTCTTAAAGTCTTCTGAACTCTTTGAAAGTCCTGTGTACTTGGAAGAGGTTGCGGATGTCCTCTGCATTTTACAAGCAGGTAAAAAAGAAAAAATGTCATTTTGTTTGCAGGTACATTATAATAGCATTGCATTTAATGCAGCAACATTCAAAAACTAGAAAATGCATTTTCTGAAGAAACTGCAGCAAGAATACTGATAGTTGAATGTTTTGAGCTGAAATTAAACAATTGCTGAATGTTAAGTTAAAAATGTTGAATGAGCTGATTAGGGATGGGTATCGTTTAGGTTTTATCCGATACCAGTGCCAAACCGGTACTTTTGAAACGGTGCCAGTGCTTAAACGGTGCTTAAAGAATGGAGAACACAAACCTTGTCCAAAAACCTCTCATGTTCAGCTGTTTTTTTGTAAAAAGGTAACAATGTTAGCCTTTTCTGCAGCTATGGGGCATATATGGTATCACTCTTGGCTGGAAGCAGCTTAAACAATGGAAAAAACACAAACTTTGTCCAAAAACCTCTCATGTT